CTGATAGGATAAAAATGAGGTTTACTTGGGCTACTTTTTTTCTGGATAGATTTTCTGTGGCTAGGGTGTCTTCTACAACATGGAGTTGTTGACTCCATACTCAACCCTTTTCCTTTAAGCGGGCTTGGGGCTGGCAGTTGAAAAGGTCATTAGTAAAAGACGTTGAGGAAATCATCAATCTCCATCACGCGGCATGCGCTAACATGAAACTCTGAAGGAAAACGGATAAAATGAATAGCAAGGAACACAGTGATTCGCGTATCGGTAACAGACATCAGAAGAATGGAAGACCACTTAAAACAACTGGAAAGTGTAGCCTAGAACACAGTCTTACGAAGAATGCTGGTGGCTGGCCCATGCTCTTCCATGAGGGGTTACAGGCGTAAGTAAGTAAATAAATAAATAAATGAAAAGCTAGTTCTTTAATCATCACCATCAAGATCTAGATTATAATAAGAAATAATATAAACATTCGGAAACATAACACTAAAAATTTGATTAAAATTCTACTTAAAATTTCTATTCATTTCGGTCAGTTATCAGAAAAGTGTTTTAACACTACTTAGTTTTTCCGATACATTAGCATTGTCCTTTGATATATCCCTATTAATATTTCAATTTGAAATTAAAGCTGATTGTTTTTATTTGGCAATTCAATCAAGAAAAAGAAAATTTAGTATACTGAATACACTTTGCTACTCCGATGATCTGTAAACGAATGTTTTATAGAATGTTCATCTCTACCTTTTTTTATTTCAAAACCTTAAAAGTTATTTTTTCTTTTATTTTGTTTTAACTCAACTTAACTTACCATGAATTTTAAAACAGTGCTATGAAATAATGATAATTTCTAACTACTCTCTTACATATTAACCTACTACATTGTAAAGCGAAAAGTGTTTAGTTTCAAGTATCTTTATCATAAAAAAGCAACGCTTTTATTTATACGAATCATTTAAATAAAACGTTTCATTATTTCTTCTGTAAAGTAATTTCTAAAAGTATTGGACGGCCGTTACGTTCTATTGTGGGACTCCTCAAAAGTGCACATCCACGAACCCGCCTCGCGATATTCGAACACAGGACATCAGCCTTGCGCGGAAGTGCTTAACCACTAGATCACCGAGCCGGCATTCAGCAATGCTAATGTCCAACTTCAACTTACTCATGAAATTGAATGACACATCCACCATCGTCATCAGTGAGTTACGATCTTACAACAAACACTGGTCACTGCTTCTCACTAGAACTACAGGATATACCACTTGAAACTGATAGGTCCTAGGTTCATATCACGCATTGCAGGGTCTTCAATGTGCACTGCTGAGAAGTTCCACACTAGAACAAAATGGCCCTCTAGCGCTTTCAGGTTTTCCATGGCGGTCTAGCTTCAATTGACTCATGATCTCGACTACTGAAATCACTACAATTTCCACAAAACCCGTTCTGATACTAATTTCTAAAGCAATCGTGATCACCTTACAACTACTAACCTAGTCTGGATCAAACTAATAAGCTTAGGGTCTCGTTGCTATAAGAATGCTATGTTTCGAATCACTATACATCCGTTAATAATTGATTTACAATATAGCAATATTATTCTTCAACACTAAGTGATACGTATCTTACTTCTAACATGAAAGAATCAGTCCTTCATTGGTTCTAAGTTATATTTCTTGGATTCTTGCTGAACCTATTCATGTGCTAAATGACGATTATACTTTGCTCAATTTTAACTATGGTGCTTACTCAAGACACCATTTCTTTGTATAGCCAGGAGTAGAGAATGGTTCACAGCAGATATGAAAGTATTAATAACTCAAAAAAAATTGTTATATAATTATGCAAGTAGCAATTATAAGCTAAAATTTCATTTACATTTGAAGTATACAGTTATGTTTTATTTGAGTAATTAACTGATAAGGAAAGGATCTATAATTAGATCTATCACCGTATGTGACTGAACAAAAATAACTATTATGTTGTACCAGGTCAAACTTATGTACCCAATTATCAAAGAAAAATAACAGAGAAAAAGATTATATATAGATATCTATGAGAACAAACAAAAGAATATTTTGATGTGAATTAGGACATGAAATATTTTGAAATAAACCCATATGTTCATAACCAGGACATTAATTTAATAGAGCTGTTAGGAGAGTTTATTTAATTCATGTTTCTGAAATGTACAACAGTCCGGATAAGTACAAATATTTGTTTAAAGAAAAATATTTTTGATAAAAATAAAGAAAGAATTGTAGGTAAATGAGACAGGTCAAGGATGGAGATCAGATAAAAAATATAATTGAGGTAAGACAAATCGTATATCATATAAATAGAGAAATAGTAAGTATATTTGCAGGAAGCATTTAAAAAAAATACATGCTAAATTTTACTATATTAGACTGGTGAACAGAGACCTGACATTATGACATACTGAAGTTGAATTAACGGTAGTTAAAAAACTATATCAAATTAACGATTTAATGTTGAATCATGAAGAAGAGCGAAACTTCGGCGCAAAATCTGTTAATAGTACTTAAGTTTCTCAAGCAACTGTCAAAGTTTAGGATTATAAATGATCAGTATTAGACTATCGTAAACAGCTTGAATAACTCACTGAAAATACTATACAATCATATTCATTTTGCCACTGTTTTGTCTACTGTCCTATTGGTTATGCATGAAACGGGAACCATTATAATTCCTATAGGGACACTATGGTCTAGCGATAATGAGAATTTATTGACTTCCTAAAACATGTGCGTAAAACAATAATATCACAAGTGGGGGAAAATACATAGAGTTACTAAAAAATCACAGCGAATATAGTTCACCTGATTTGGTACAGAGGATATAAATATCACACTGAAGTTCATACATGTCATACTGAACGAATTCCTTACTGAATTGATACAAAATATATAGGCCTGAAATATTATCTTTTTTTTATCCCGTGACCTCATAAACACATTAATGGTTTCATGGAGTTTACTAGATTACTGTTTTTTTTCTACAGCATTTAATCTGTCTTATTCACTGATTGAAACTATTCCACAAAACTATATTTTGATTGACTTGAGATTATTACAATATTATCTCAACTAAATCAAACCTTGTAAATTTCAGTATTTTTAAGGTTATTAGTGGACATTAGGTTGAATTATATTCCTAAAGATTTTAATGGTGTTAGCCACTACTTCCATCCTGTCTATCGTAATATTTTTTACATAATTTACGAAAAACATCGTTAAGAAATCTATATATAATATAGTATTTAACCAGTCTTTAATGAGAAATTGTAATGATTTGAATGTCTGTGTAATATATATGTTCCTTGATTTCCTGTTAGTTTCTTTTGGTAAATGTATTACTTCACTATCTTAATGGACAATAGAAAATTGAACAATATGCTTTTGAATCCATTTTGTATTGTTCATTTGAATCGTCCCAATGATGTTTAGGACTGAAACTGATCAATCTCTTATTGGCATGTGTACATTCTCTGTAGATAGCACATTGCCTTAAGTCACAAACATTATAAGTAAAGATGGTCAGTGGTTAGCGTTAGAATCCAGGACTCGCTTGTCGTCATATTTGAGACTCGTCAGCTGGATGTACCTACATCCCAGAGTTGATGTCTACACCGGGGACTCCAAACCAGTACCGTTCGCCTCAAACGCTATTGCATTATCTACTTAGCTAATGAGTTCTTGTAGTCACCAGCTTGCGCAACGGAATGAAGTTTAAATTCATTCTGTACGTTGGTTTCAATCCTCTCATTGATGTTTAAGATTGCAAGTACATCCAGCTGACGAGTCGAAAGTGGGACGAAACGCACGTCCTGGATTCCACTACTAGCAACAACCCAACTTTGCTTACAATACATTTTTGGTTTTATCTTGTCTTGTATATTTATTTTATTCTATGCACTTTTTCAAAGTGCTCCAAACCAATAAATATCTTTTTGATTTCTTGAGTGAAACACTCACCTGGTTTACAATATGCTCAGATTTTATAAGAAAATTTCATTCAAATAGGTCATAAGATAGATGTTTTATTTAATTTTCTCATTACTGAAAAACAGATTATTTATTACTGTATTTGTTTTATTTTCCTGTTGATGTACGTTCTCTCTCAATATAGTTGTATTGTCTGAGGATGACCGTTTAAAGGAGTCAATTTTAGTCAGTGAGGGGAAACCGATTCTCCGATTCACAGAGAGAAGAACTAAGAGTTTCCATAGAACCGACAGAAAACGCTTTTCAAATGTCAGCAAACATGGTCACTAGTCATAATCAAAAACTTCAAAATGCCGAATACACACAGAATCAAATTGCTTAATATAATAAAATCCAAGCAAGTAAATAAATTCACATAATGAACGAAAAGAACTTTAAAATCTGCAATATCACAATCTTTAAATGCAGAAACTCATTAAACTGTAAGTTCAAAAAGACAAATGAAGAACTGTGTAGGGATGGCAAAATGTCTCAAATAATACTACAAAAACGTTTTCTCAGAATTACGTGGATAAGAGGCGATATAGTAGGCGAAACGTAAGCCTTGTAGACTCAAATTTCATTGGTTTTTGAATGACTTACATAAGCAATGTAAATCGGCCATTGTCATTACGTATGAATTCTGATCTTGTTTGTTTTGTTATCTAAAATGACTCATATTCCACTGACCAGCAATTCAGTGTCCAAGTATCCGTTCGTTGTGAGCTTTGGTCATTTATTCAAAATCCTGACAACCATTATCTGGTCATTATTTAGCCAAGCGATAAATGACATTAATCCGACAATCGATAAAATTCATAAAAATCATTCGCTATTATAACACTTATTTTTGTAATGATAAAACAATTATAAATACGTAATTGATCTCTACTTTTTAAGACTAAGTTATTTAAACTATAACACACAAATGATTTTTATAATTTCGTTTAAAAATATACATAATAAGACCAAAATGAATAGTTTTAATAAACTTACAAAATACAACCTTGAGGTATCCTGACTCCTAAAGTAATAGCATCAGCAAGTGACAAAACTGTCATTAATATATAAGCAGAAGCTGAAAACTTTCTGCATATGAATATACTGAAATTAATAATATTCAATATGAAACCAATTGAACAAATTGTTGTTTGAATAAATACATAAGCAATAGCTACTATATATTGATAATCAATTGATGTTCTATATGATAATTTATTTGTTTGATATGAATTATTATTATTATTATTATGAGAGGTAATTAAGATGATCTCACTTGTATTCATACTTAGTAGATATGAAATTTGTTTTTGATTTTTTTTTAGAATTGGCTTTTCGTAAACAATTTAATGTAAAATATTACATTGATTCTATTGTTCTTCCTGAAATTGAAATGTAAAATGTAAATAATAAGCAAAGGATAGAGAAACAATCATTTTTCATATTGAAGAGAAAAGAACATACTTCTTATTGGAATAGATAGATTTAGCAAAGAAATCTATTTCTGAAGTAAAAATTACATTCGATCATTTCAACGAATGTATGTTCAAAAATCGAAGTTCGTAATAAGTTAAAGAATCTTTTTCAGTCATCTATCCATATTAACTTTATGGTCTGAATAAAGTATTTTATGAAGTTACTTTCATACTACTACATTTTAATGAATTTTGAAATCCATAAACTCAAACGAAACTTTGGAAATTGATACCATGTGGTGTTATTGCGGTTTGCGTTGGTTAAGTTAGTAAATTTCATACTTATGTTACATATTTTCAAATAATCATTAATTCATATGTCATTTATTTTCACTAATATAAATATCTACTTTAAATATTGTTAACGGTGATTGGGTATACAGTGAATCGGAGAACCATGTATCTATTTATATTTGATAATTTTGATGTTTGATTATATTTCTTTGAAAAACTTGAAACAGATTGACGGGTGAAACGTTGAATTTACTTCAAATTCATTCGCTGAGATTTTACAAATACATTCTTCCTCTTTAATGTCTCATATCAACTCGGCGCCCAAATACTGTGAAACTAATCAAATTTAGACAAAAGTTCTTATATATTATATGACTGATTATAGGGTAAGACTGGATGAACTTAGTGCAATAATACATGATGGATATATGATTTTTCGTTGCTATTGTAAGTGTTCTACATACAAGTTACTTTAAATTGTATGATAAAATAATACAAAGAAAATTAAGTATTTTCTTTATATAGAAATATTATGGCAGCAGAAAAAATACTCGGTAATGAACATACAACATTGTTCTATAAACAGTAAGCAAACATAAGTCAGTACACACAAACATGGATAACACATAAGTAAGATTAAATAGAAGCACTAAGCTATATGTAAACCGAATGCCTCACATTTGAGAAACTGTTATTCTGAGCACATCATTTGTTAGTTTACATTAGTGAGAACAGACATTACTGAACTTCTATTTAAGGGATTATAAAGCTCGTACTAAATTAGATTAAATTATTACGTGTGGTTGTTTGGTCATATATATATTCATAAAACATTCGTCATTCTCTACTATTGAGTGGTGTTTAAAAAATGGGACACTATCTAAACTATTTTTTCGTGTTCCAATTAGTGAAAATCAATAAATGGAAGTAACACTTCTTGAGTGCTGGGCAGGACATCACCCTGAGCTATGGTTACACCATCGAGGAGTTTGTTAAACTCTTGGATTGAATGAGTTTAGACGTTAACACCGTCGGAAGACGACTTAATGGTCTAAAGTTTAAGTGTCTAATCCCAGCGCGAGGGTTGGCAAGTGTCAGCTGCTGGTAAGTTCCACACTAGGACAAGACGACTGTCCAGTTCTTTCAGATTCTCGGCAGCGGTATAACTTAGATCTATTATTGATTTCAGTGAAATTCGATGACATTGGGAACCCCATACTGGCAGTCATGTATAGTTGTTCAACTACATTAGTATTGTTTAACATACTGTATTGAGTTGACAAAAAAATTATAAGGAAATGCTTTTGATGCATAGAGTTCCTCCAAAATACAATAGCATATTAATGAAATTTACTATCTTTTTGAATAGTTGCAGGCGATTGCTAGAAAATCTTTTGCCTACATTTCGTTCCAATTGATACTGATCAGGAGGAAACGTTCAGAAACTTGATTCAAATACTGCTTTCTTTTTGATTCGAACCATCATCATTCATCTGCATGAGATTCTTCTAAGCGTAATAAAGTTATTCTTACATATTCCAAAGAGGTGATACAAGTATAGATTTGTAGAATGTAATAAGTAATTTCAGATATTTACTTTATATTCAGACAACATCATTATCCATATAAATTCTTTACTTCAAAGTTATTTTATTTCAGTATTCCTACTTCGTTTCAAAAATCCCTTTTCTTTATGGCTTTGCAAAATTAATGACTTAGTGAAATTACAAGGACTTAAATTCAATTACTTTTTTTTACATAGTAAATGGTTTATAGAACTGGATTTACAGTGAATGCACATCTAAACAATAATTTTAAATCTTTCTGTTTAACATTTTGTCAACCTATTGTATCATTATTCATTTTAAACGGGAAAAAATAAGTAATAAGGAAGTTAAATTAGTCTTTCGAAAAGCGAAATATCAACAATACGTTTGTTATATTTTAGTTGTTCAAATCTGTTGTTGTCCATTATATCCCGATAAGAATAATGAATGGTAACTTTTGCGATCCATTTATGAACTAATGCTATGAGTATATTTTTATCATGTAATTTTTATGTAACTAAACTGTTCATATTCATGTCACTCTTATTATGAGTTTTATTTTGACCTATGAACTATTAATAAACGATTTACCATTCTTGAGTTTATGGTCTGTCTAATAATTACTATCTCCTTCATTCACAGTCACTTATGGCTAAATATTGTACAAATGTTGTTTTATATTTTATGGTACGTTGTGGTCTGTCTGGTTGATATATAAACCGAGCATATTTGAAATAAATGATTCATATTGCAGAGGCTGGAATTAGTGTTCTGGACTTAACTGGCTGGGCTAGACAGGAAGCGAGACCAATCAGGACTCTAGGCTGATCGCACATGTTTACGCGTCATTGATCCGATCAATAAGTCGCTGGTCTCTGATTGTAGGTATCGTTGCGTTATACAATAACAAAGCACACAGATTCACAAGTTATAACATTGTCATGGAACATTAAAAAAGTAAATTATGATATGAATTGGGAAGTTAATATATTTTAGAATATTTAAAACTATGATGATAATATAACCTTGTTTTCTTTTAGAAATTTTAATGTTTTGTAACAGTTCACTCTTTATAGATACGTATTACATATATAAATGTTTTACGTGGGAAATTATTATAAAGACCTTAATGGTTATTATTTTTTGCCAATATTAGATAAACTGTCAATTTAAATTGCTTATGAAATAAATGACATTATGAAAAAATCATGGAAAGAACTTTTTTGACATAACCTAACAGTCTTATTTAAATACCAGTTATTAAGCTGAAGATTTTTAAGAATTGGATTATAGAGATAGATCCTAAAGACTAATAGTTTGTTTTCAAGTGATCAAATTATATGATTGTTTTGTATGAACATATGGAAATCGCTTTTACACTATGTCTGTTAAGTAGTAAATGTGCATTTCAATGATAAGTGAAATACAAGTTTTTAATAGAGACACACAAAGTGCTAGATAAGTGGGCACTTATGTTATATTCTACACAAATTTTAAGTTTATTTTGATAACATGAATTACATTTCGAGAAAATAACCTATTTTTAGCGTATGTAATCATAAGATTCTATCTGTTGGTTAACTTATCGCCTCGATAGAATGTCTTAACTAGTACATTTAATACGATACGAACTTTGATCTAGTAAGGTATATTTTCTAATAAAAAGTTTATATTCGAAGTGAATCTAAGCGTTTTGCGTATGTAACTACTGAGTTTCATTAGTAAGACTATTTAAGCTGTTTACACCAATTTTTTTTTATTCCAGTAAGTTTCTAAATAATGAAACAAAAATGTTTGAAGTAACCGGATTTTTGTTTTAATAATCATGTATAAGTATGATTTAAAGTTTGTTTATGGATACTTTAATTTCTAGTTTTAATGGTAATTCAAGAATTTTGTACACTAGAGTGATAGTAACATACTTTTACGATGATTATATTTCAAAATATATTTAATGTGTTAGTAACCTAAGTAAACAAAACAGGTTGAAATGTACTTGTTAAAAGTTCGTTTTTATTGACAGTTATCTCATTAGAATGAAGGTTAAATAAATAATATCGTTACAGATTTTTTTAAAATGTTGTAATGGGTGACTGCAGGTTTTAATAAGCAGTGTTTATACCGATCGATCGCAGTGACACGTAAACACGTAATGAACGACCTAGTGTCCTGATTGCGCCTGCCCCCCTGTCTATCCCAGCCAGTTGAGTCCAGAACGAAAGTCACAGCCTCTGAGATATGAATCATTGTATTTCAGACATACTCTATTTATATACTAACCAAACATACCACATCGTACCATAAAAATAGAAAACAACATTTACACAATATTAAACAAGTGAAGTAAATAGGGAATGTACATTTAGCGTCCAAGGACAACATTAGACTTAACATGATAACTATTGGTATATTTTTCCGCACATCCTAACAAAAAAACTATCAACTAGAATAAAAACTAATTCACAAATGTAGTGATTTCCGATCCTCATCAAGACGGCTAACGATTCAATAATCCGTATCATCTATTGAAACAGGTGATTATCAATATTGTATTGTATATGCACATTTCTGACAAGATTTTTGCTAATCAAAATAAGGAAACTTAGCATCAATAAATAATGTTCGATACACTACTGTAAAACCATGTTATACTTGTACAGGTTCTTTTAAATGAATGATAACAACTAACATGTTGATGTAGCATTCCAGAACAATCTTTTTATGTTATTATTTTAAGTCATTGTATGCACTATTAATTTTATTGATAGCTTACTTGTTGTTTGACATTAACTTTAATAAACAATAAATCTTCCTTAATTTTGTGCAGTGAAATGAAGATATAACACGAAAAATTAATTGTTTATCAATCTGTCACAAGTGATTAATGCTATCTTAAGTTAGATTTCCCATAAAATCAATTGCCTAATCAACCGTTCGTTGTTTATATTTGTTAATCACAATAATTAATAACGAAGTGTTTAATTCCAGTAAATAAATTTTGATAATCTATTGTTAAGAGTTATTGGCGTA